GAAGAATGACCATCAATGTCGTGTTCAAATGAGCAAAAGTTCTGAGACCTATCCAGGTGAGTCCTCTTCGTTGCGGTGAGGAGTGTTCCTAAGGTTGCGTTCATTTTGCGTTTTGAGTGGCTCCCCGCGAAACGCTCAAAACGCTGTCGCACGCTGACAAAGGTGACGCGAAGTATAAACGCAGCTAATTATCTCCGAATCAACGGTACAGATGATGTTTTTAGGGACGAGTGAACGTATTTGTTTGGTGAAGGGACGTGTACAAAATGTGCTTGGTGTTATTGATGTAATCCTGCAGAGGATTCGTGAGAAATGCGAAGGCTCTACTAGCTCTGATGCATTCGATCACAAAGGAGTTAGCCGCGGAAACGAGGTTTCTTACAGTACTTCTTTTCAAAATCAAGCCAGTCCATTGTCCACCTCTTCTCGACATTGTAAGATGTGATAGCGATATCACTGGAAGGTCCCCCAGCGGTATTTGCTTTGCGAGGGGCCGGTCTGCTATTGCGAGAAAACTGTAGTAGCCTCTAATTTTCACGAGTTCCTCGAAATTGGGTCAACTTTTTATCGCCAGAAAATGCTATATACGATGGCATACTCTTGAGCTCCGTTCGCCCCTCGGAATCGCCGATTACCATGGCAGTGACGCAGAATGACAGAGTGGCCCTTCTCAAAGCACATAGCATCTCTTCCCCTACATTGGGATGGAACAGAATTAAAGAACAGTATGGGGCTTGTGGCGGTGATGGTGGTTTTCGTTTGGCTTCATAGCTTTTCACAATACCCCTTCCCCGATTCATTTCACTTTGCAGTTGAAATATATGTGTCGCATAGTCTGGACGGTTGCCAGGCATTCATCGTTTAGAACATCTATCCCAGAGAGGGAGTGCAGAAGAAAAGGAGAAGAACTCTTGTTGTCACGTCGTTAAGGAAGAGCGTAGAAAGATAAGAAGAGAATAGAGCCTTTATCTTTTCGAGATATCCTGGTAGCGCAGAGGAGCCAATAACGGTGGATTTCACCAATTGTTAGTGGTATGGAGCTGTCAGTTCTTGCGATAGGGGACAGTTAAGCGAAAAGGAAGGTCGCGAATAATTTCTCTTTTTGATCTTGTGAACAGTAATTCATTTGCTACAGCTTCAGGGAACTTTTCATTGCTTGTGAAAGTATCTCTCCATGTCCAACGAAAAGATCACTGACGATGTAACTAATGGATTATTGTTCACATATTCAAAAAAATATCAGTTGCTTCCTTTCCTTTAGCTTAATTAGCTTCGCATCGTTGAAGTTGACGGTGCCTTATGTCCTCACTAGCAATTGGTGGAATACCGTCATCAGCTACTCTGGTACCAGGGTACTAGTATCTCGTGACCACCAGCACTCCCTTCTCTCCGCACCTATCTGGGCTGTTCCTTCCGATTCGCGTAACTTTGATCAGTTTTCCTATCATAGTGTGAAATCTCTTGCTAAGAAAGCGCTGTCGCGTTTTTGATTCCATCGCTCACAACATGTAGCGTCATCAGGCGGGGGACAGCGATATAGCGCAACAATACTGTGAAATAAGCAGATTCACTTTTGTTATATTCAATTCGTTTTGAACGGATCTATGTCGCTTTTCTGGAGTAGGGGTTCCCCTGTATCCGAAATAGGTCGAAAACCTGCTCGGTCTGCTAAAAGGCCCACACAGAAGCAAATACTGTTAATGGTGTGTGATCAGCAACTGGAACGACTTCTGTGCATTTCTCGTAATGAACTTGCACTCACCTTGCTTAGGAAATGTGCTTGAGGTTGCCTCTCATAGGTGATTATGGTCAGTGTCGCTGTTCACATATTCAAAAAAATATCAGTTGCTTCCTTTCCTTTAGCTTAATTAGCTTCGCATCGTTGAAGTTGACGGTGCCTTATGTCCTCACTAGCAATTTGTGGAATAGGATCTATGGTCGCTTTTCTGGAGTAGGGTTCCCCTGTATCCGAAATAGGTCGAAAACCTGCTCGGTCTGCTAAAAGGCCCACACAGAAGCAAATACTGTTAATGGTGTGTGATCAGCAACTGGAACGACTTCTGTGCATTTCTCGTAATGAACTTGCGGTCACCTTGCTTAGGAAATGTGCTTGAGGTTGCCTCTCCATAGGTGATTATGGTCAATGTCACACTGCCATGTCCTCATGGTTTGGCATATGTGGGCTTCCATATTTCAACCACTTCCTTACTTTCAGGTGAAAATTGTAATGCCAAACACATCAGCTGGTATGGTCATTGGCAAATCGGGGACAAACATCAAAGATATCCGTGAAACGTATGGATGCCAAATTCAAGTTAGTTCGGAATGTTTAACACTGAGCGAATGTCATTTGGGTTTTTTTTGCAGGTGTTTCCGAAAGCAGGCTCACCCGAAGCACAAAATTCGCTGGAGCGAATCGTCACACTAGCACATGAGGACCACTCGGTAAGTAAGGGAATTTCGGAACCTAGCCAGAAATGTGCCAGTTTTTAGAGAATAAGAGAAGCGATAATATCTATTACTACCTGCTGCACGTTCATAGCCCATAATCTGATGGAGTTGCAAATCTGGGCGAGTTCTTCTCACTTGATCGTCGAGCTCAGTCACGGCCAGCAGCTTGTTTATAAATCCCAGTATTGCATCTTCTCCGGGCCACAAGACATACGCACACTCTTGTTCGCTACCTGTGAAGGGCATGTCAAGCGGTCGTTCTCGACCAGTTGCTGAAGTGGGTGAGCGACAGCAGTTGTGGGAAAATGACTGATACGAACGATATGATACAGTCGTGTCGCTTGCTCGCTTTAACAACAAATGGGGAACGACTTTGGCGCCACCTCGAACGCACCCTGACCCGACTCCTCATCCGCAGCAAAAAAAAGGCTATCTATTCGATGGTTCGAAAAGTCCACTATGAATTTCGATATGCCTTGATTGCCAGTACCAAATGTCCCCTGGATATGTTATCGTACAGTAGTTTTCATGCAGTTCAATTCTTTCAGCAACTGATTCAAGCCACGAGCCGTGTGCTGGAGAAAGTGGTGGCTGATCCCCATCACACGAGTGAAATCAACAAGGAGGATTTCAGTGGAAAAGGAGGACAAACTAGGGTGAGAATTTGAATGATACTAACTCGCTAGTCGTGTTCATACTTTGCGACGGGGGAGATTCGGCAAATCAAATGACAGGACAGACGAGGAAAGTAGAGCTGTCGATCTAGCAGGCGGAGATTCAGTGATCTGGCGATTCGGTACTTTCCTCACCACGCAAACTCTCAATTCTTCGAATCTCCTGAGTCACAAAATGTGAACGCATCAACAGTCTTTATTTTTTAATGTTGTGGTTTCAGACTGGGAATACATCGTTCACGTCCACCCCCGCTTTCACTAATGGTAATACAGCTGCAGCCTTTAACGCGGCTCCACCTGCATTTGCGGCTCAGACTTATGGATATCAGGCAAATCAGCAGCAACCTACGATGAAGTTCAATCCTATGAGTGGCCTTGGAAATCAAGAGGTATTTTTTATAGCCGGGAAGTTTCTGCTGACAAGTGAATCAAATTTAACTGAGCTTTCGAGCCCTCATTTTGGTTTGTAGTGTTTTTTTTGTGTGAGCAGCGAAAGTAAATACTTTTCAGTTGCTCTCGTTTCTTGACAACCTTCAGTCGACTCTGCGCTCATCAGGCTTCAATGAGGCCAGTGTTGCTGAAGTAATGCAGGCCATGCAGGTAGAGTATTACGGGGCGCTGTTCGGCTTGGAAGGGGCGTCTTGCCTTTTTGCTAGTTTTATTGGTTCATGTTAGCGGACAGGTTTCACTTTCATGAAATTTGGTGAAACCTGTACACTCTTGCGAAGTTTTGGAACGGCACAAGTGGACCACTTTGGTGATAAGAATTTTCAGGTCATTACGTGGTCTTTTAAAGTAGCTCAGTAATGTACCGTTTGGT